TACAAGTTTCCCCCATGAATTCCAATCCCCCCATTCCACTCTATTTTTTCCCAGAAACTTACCACTTTATAACATAAAGAAAAATTAGTTATATTTATTACATCTCCATCTCTCCTAGGATATAAACTCTACAGAACCTTGACTTTCGTTCCTTGATGTAGCTTGAGATCCTAGAGCAGTGCCTGGCACATAGTAGGCATTTCCAAAAATAGTTGTTGAATGAATGAATATGTGTAGCCTCCTTCAGATCCCACAGATGGTGTGAGTTACTCTTTTCCCTATATTACTTTAACTCTTTGTATGGATCACTCTTTTGGTCCTTCTTATGTGAATTATTTTTACTATTTATGTATCTATTTGTCCCGATACTGAGCCATGTCTTCTTAGAATTTTCTATATGTGAATCTGCAGAAACTGATACAGTGTCCGTCATGCAGCAAAAGGTCAAATCAGGCCAACTCAATAAACGTACAAAGTTGCTGTATATACCTCGTTCTCTGACACCGACTCACTAGCTCTGAAAGTCAGGTATAGTTTTGAAAGTCTCTCTTCCAACCCCCTACTCTAAATACATGTATGCACGCTCTCCACTAATAGAGACAATTTTAAACTATTTTCACATATTTGCTTAATTATCTTACAGTGACCTCTGCAAAACACTAGCCTCTGATGATTATAAGAGGTAGTTTTTGGCATGGAAACCAAAGCATCAAAGAGTCAGCTGGAACTAAGGCAAGCAATAACACAACTGGTTTTAATTACTCGTGACAGGCAGCTGAATATATCTGACACAGGCCTTCTCCCCAATACATCACTCAGAACAGGCCAGTTACAGGAAATAGTGGAGAAAGAAAAAAAAAAAAAACCCACAATGAGGCCAAAATGTGTCCATAATACAAAGCAGATCATCTTTCACATGGATGACCTTATTCATTTCATTTTATATTTTTATGATGGTCCCAAACCTATAAAATTGCTGACCCCATTAAGACGTTGCATGCTTCTATGATGGCGCTGAGGAGTGGTGGCTCAGATTCTCAGAAGAGGAGGTAGATGAAGATTGCACCCATTCATGAATCACCGTATAAACCAAGGGGTCCTCCAAAGTTCATCTAGGACTGCAGGCATGTTTGCAATTAATTCATCTGTGAAGTCAGGTGAGAACCTTCTAGTCAGCATGCTCAAGGAAGATTAGCTTCATCTATAACTAGTTACTTTCTTCTGACCTCTTGTGCAGCAAGAAATAGGTGAGGATAAGGAGTTGCTTTGCTGTAACCTAGTCACAATTTTAGTATATCTCTTATCAAGGACACACACTCACCTGATGGAACTATCAACTTTGGATTCCCCATAAACTTTGGTTGACACCTATTAAAAACACAAGAGAGAGGGAGGGAGAGGGAGAGAGAGAGAGAGGAGACAGAGAGAGAGATCCTAGCTAGTCAAGGTTTTGCTACAGGGCCTAATCTTCTTGCTAAGCAGGCGTCCTCAAACTACGGCCCTTGGGCCACATGCAGCCCGCCTAGGACATTTAGCTGGCCCGCTGGGTGTTTTTGCCACCGCTGCCTGTCCTACTTAGCAGCCAACTCATCCCGCAGTCCAGCCCTCCAACGGTCTGAGGGACAGTGAACTGGCCCCCTGTTTAAAAAGTTTGAGGACCCCTGTGCTGAAGTCTCCTTCCCGATGGACGTCTACCTGATCCTAGAGTTCCTTGCCTTCTTGTTGCAGTGTATTTCCTGGTTCTGGCCACTTGCATTGTTTGATCACTACTTTGAACAGTCTGTACAACCCAGAGCTCATGGGAAAAGCACTTAATTTTTCCTGCTGCTTTGCTTTAATTCCTGTTTGATGCCTTCAGAAAGTATCAGAATCTTTCCACTTTTAATATCACCTTTTATTCTTTCAACGAAAGTTCTGAGTCCCTGCAATATAATAGAGAGGGTCTAATAGAAACTGAGACTCTAATCACAAATACTCCACCAAGGAGCTTAGAATTTAACAGAGGAAATGGCAAGTGCACAGATGATTGTGATGCCACATACTAAGTGCTGTGAGATGGTAAGTGGAGGGGAGCACTAAAGGGGGGCCCTTAGCCTGTTCCTGGGCAGTGAGGAAAGCTTTCCTGGAGTCACCCGCATCTAAGCAGTCTGAGCTAGACAAAAAAACATGAGAAATATTCTATGCTAAGGAAGTAGCATCTATAAATGCTCTGAGCCATAAATCACGACTGCTTCAGGGCACAACAAGTACAGCTGCAGGAATGTGGGGAGACAAGCTGGAAAGCGAAGCCAGGGCTAGAGCATGAAAGGCTTTTTATGCCTTTCTAAGAAGATGAGAATTCATCCTGTAGTGATGAAGGAGTCATCGAAAGTTTATACATGACATGGTCAGATTTATAGTCTTGAAAGATGGCATCAGTGTGGAGAACGGATTTCGCCATCCAACTAGTTCACTGAACCTGGCCCACACTCTTCTTGCCGGCCCTCTCTTACCTTTCCATGAAGAGCCCAGCTCCACACCCCTGGCCTTTTCAGCATTGTCAAACAAAACTAGTGATCAGAATCAGTTTGAGACCTTATAAAAGAAATACCAATTATCTGGTACCACTTCACAGGACCATATTCCCATGGGCATGGGGCCTTAGAATCTCTGTAAGTCTCCCCAAATGATTTGGAAGCAGCTGGACTATGGATCAGTATTTGGGAAATAATATAGCTGTCACTCATACCACTAGTTTCCAGCTGTGTTGATGAACACGGGCAGTGTGTTTGGTTTACTCAAGTAGACTGAAGAGGGCTGGAGTAGGTCTCACTCTACATGTCCTCCTTCCACCATATATGTCTCTACTCCCAGGATCAGAAAAATCATTTTCTTATTTGCACTCCTCCAGGACATCTGCTTGTCCTTCGCATAACAGGTCCACACTTTAACATAACTGATTGGGCTGCCCAACCTGGCTCCAATTCCTTTCAATCCACTCATCTCTTAACCTTGTACCCTTTATTAACAGTACAGAGGGAAGATATTGATATAATTTACTCCAAATTTCTACTTCCTCCATTAAATTAAAGATAGATATTGAGTTGGGAAATGGTGTAGATTAACAATGAAGGTTTTGACTTAGAAAAAGAAAACAGACTGACTGATGATCAACCTCAAAGACCCAAGTGAGTTGATGATCATGTATCAGTATCTACCAGACAATAATGTTATCGCCTCCATAAACTCAGAAACCCAAGAATAGAGAAAAATTGACAGCTGTGCAAATCAGCTTCTGAGTATTGGAAAAACAGAAAGTCCAGAGGTAAAAGAGTTAAGAAAGAAATAGAAGATTCCTCCTTGGATGGGCCTAGAAAGAAGATTCTGCTAATTTGCTCTAAGGCTTACAGAGGACTAAAACACGAGCACCTTTGTTTTGCCACGCTTGGTTTGTGTGGTAATGATTGACCATTTGATTTAGTTCTGGTCTCTGGCTCGCTCACCACAGGTTCTGTCTGATGTTCTGTTATGTTACCTACAGCATGGTACGTAACATACAATAGCTAGAAGGTACGGAGGGCAGAAAAGGTGACATAATTTTCCAGCATACTAACTGAAACTACCAAGGTAAAGATAGAACAGTAAGATATTAAGTGTCTTATAATAAGTTGTTACCTCTTAAGTTAGAGTTCTGATTTGAAAATACAATTTTTATGGTGACAGCATATCCACAAAGTAGGTATTCTTAAAATTGATTTTTTGCATTTCATAGAAGACTCGATGTATATCAAAACCCAAATAGGTGCTTGCACATGAAGATATTAAAGTGTTTTAAAGATGATAGCAGTTACATTAAAACATTCTGCTAATAAAAATTGAATTACATTTTTCTTTTTGAAAGATTTTAGATAATTTTACATTTTAAAACAATGCCTTATATTAATCCAGCTACTTCAGTTTTCAGGTTTATCCTTTCCTTGTCCATTTCCTTAGCTGCTTCTCTTTCCAATGTACATTCATTTTCAATCAAGGAAACAAGAGCAGCTGCAATGAAGCAAGCAAGAAGGAAGCCAATGACTAAAATTAGATTATCGATGACATTTACTTATATTTTCAAGGCTGAAATTTCAGGGTACAACATTTTCTCCTGAAAGGAGACACGTCTCCATCATTGCAATGCAGACTTCTGTCATCAAATTACATCTATATTACATCATCGCGTAGTGAAACTGACCCAAAATAGAAAGTGAAACCATTTACTTTTTCTGCCAAGAGAAAGGCTAAAGACAAAATTAAATAATAGACTTGTTTTCATAAGGTTATTTTGACTAATGGCCTCTTAATTAGGAGGAGATGTTTGTTCAAGAGAAGTAGTAGTTCCAAAGAGGAAGGAAGTTTGATGTAGCTGACATG